CATATAGACCATAATCCATGTTTACTCTGCTACCCGTACATGTGACTAAGAAGGCACAAATTGGCACATTGGTTCTAAAGAGAATCCTGGAAATAAAAATTCCAAACAATATAGTACCATCCTTGATGCTAAAGTGCGTCCTCAAAACTCTAGACAGGACTCCAGAAGGAAGACAAGTCCTGTACCCCAGATTTCTAACAATTAGCAACATGGAGAATTGACCAAAAGGAGGGATGCAATGTTCAAATTCTGTTTGCTGGCCATCATTTGAGTGGGCTCTAAGTGATTAATATTTTGATAGAAGACTCTCTTCTTTTATATTTAAATGTGTTGCCAAAAAATTCACAGGCCTTCCGTAATTCTTGAATTAAATGTTCTGAAATTCTAGTGAAGGTTAATGAGCACCAAATACTACTGTTACTACTATGTTTTCTGTTAAAAGTATGAAATGCAAAAATCTAGAGATTCTTTTCCAGTAAAGGAATGTAAAGAGATTTCCTTAAAATCATAAAAATTTCAAATTCTGTGATGCCTTTTATTCAGTAAATACCATAAAATTAAAAGTATCAGTGGTCCTTCTTGGGAAACAATATTGGCATTCCTTATTCTTACAACTAAAAACCTAAACCAAAGAGCCTTTGCGGTATAATTACTACAGTCCTGGGGGAAAAAAGATGAAGCAAAGGCTTCCCTGTAACAGAGCAAGGGAAAACACTGACCTATAGTAGCCGGAGAAGGAAAAAATATTGTAAACCCATTGTCATCCACCCATATCTATCGAGTGTCCTTTGTAACACTGATGTCTACCTCTGATAACAAGAGGGGTAGGCAGAGTCTAAAGTTAGAATATCAAATACATCTGAAAAGAAAACAGGCGGAAAAAGAATCACTTCTATCGGGCACTAGCCAAATGTCCATTTCTATGTACTGGCTTCTTTCAAAATATTCAATCACACCTAATAATTGACAGAGAACACAAAAAAGCTCTCACTCCCATGCTGTTGCATTCACTTCCCCTGGGGCATATGGCCATTTGTAGCCACTGGCAGCCGCAAGGAAAAAAACCCCAGGAAAACCAGACATGTTCAATTACACCCCCACCCCTCCTGCCTTGAACCTCTCTGTTATTAATATACTTTTGCCTTCTGGGTTAGGAAAGGGTCCTTAAAAGCATCAAAGTAACATTTTTCTAACCTTTCTGTTAGAGAACTAAAGGGTTTTTTTATTAAGAAAAATATAAAGACAAGCTAAAATATCAAATATCACATTCAATTGATGATTCCTGAACACTTTTCATTTAATAAGCTTCTCAATGGTTTGTTAGAACTAAGAACATGTCTCACAGAATAAGATACATGTGTTATGAAATCCCTACAAAAGAAGAATGATCATTCTTGCTTTGAAATATTTCTTATTTTTACTGCTTTAAAAAATTTGGTTTTTCTTCTCCATCTCTGTGCTGCATGCTGTCTAGACAGAAATGTATAATTAGTTGGGTCCAATCTCAGAAGCAGTAACAAGAGTAAATGTATTTTCTCATTTACTAATTCCAAAACTGTGTGGATAGAACCCTTTGTTTTTAAGTGATATTCTACAATTACTGGGATAGATTAACTGATGTATTTCACCATCAATTTAATAGTAGTAGTTCAGCAATATTTCAAATGACTTATTTAATATAAATTATTAGAATATGCAGAAAAAACAAGCCTGTGACAGTCATTTTCTATACAAATATCTATTGTGCACTTCGAATGTGCCTATGGCTTTTCTAGTGCGGAGACTATCATATTAAGGTATTCCCTTTGATATTTGCAGTCTAATGGAGGTGATCAGAGAGGTAAAAAGCAAAAATAACGTTTTAAAAGTGCATTGCTTTGTGAGCTCACGGGCGCTCACATGAGGACAACCTTGGCCACATTTTGGGGCCGTAAAAACTTCAAGGGGAACATTAGAGACCTGGAAGTGATAGAAAAGTTAGGTGATGATGAACAAATGTGCTTTAAAAAATCATTGGACACAAAGTCAGCTGAAGACTGATGAACGTTTCTGAACATGTGTTGCTCCCAAGCCCCACTTAATCAGGGTAAATTTTCTGGAGATGAGCCTTGAGCACAGTTTTAAAATAAGGAAATCACAGCCTAAGGGTAGAGGGGCAGTCCTTTTTGCTCCATCCTTCTTTGGTCTTACTCTAAAAACAGACGAGAAACAAACTGTTTCTAGGACAATCCTAAAAGAGAATATGCTAAAACACGCCAAGCCAACAACAACAAAAAATTAGAGGTGAAACAGTAAGGACACAATTTCTTGAAATATGCTGGAAACCTCCAGACTTATTCTAAGTTCCTGTATCTGCTCTGCTCTTGACTTCAGGACTTCTGATATCCGACTCTCCAAAATAAATGCTCTAGGTGATGCCTCTCATTAATGAGAATTACCCTTAAGGATGTCACCAAGATCTCAAAGCCTAATGCAGAATCACACACGCCTTTAATGGCAGTTCAACTCCCAATTATAAAAGCAACAGTGAGCCACCGCACCAGCAGTCAAATTACGCTGCACATTTAGAAAGGGCTAGGAGGGCTTTATGTTCACAATCTCATCTCACCTCACAAAACCTCTGCATGGTAAGTATTAGCATTACCTTTAGTTTATGAATGAGGAAATTCAGCTTAGGGAAGTTCATTAAAGTATCCCCAGTCCCACAGCTGGTGGGCACAGGAGTGAGATGTGCACACAAGGTTGCCTAATTCCCAGGCTATGGTTTTAGAGCACCCTCCGTCCTGGTTTACTGCCTCCAATATCATCCATCAACACAGAAGGCCAACACCAGCTGCCCAACAACAAGGGAGAACAAGGAAGGGCTCAAGGAGAGCAAGAGAAAGGAGGAAAAGGGTTTGTTTGTCCAGGACCTCTAAAGTTGCAGATTAATTACTAGCAGAGAAGGGACTAGAGAGATGGGACAAAGGGAAGATCTGACCTAGTTTGCTGAAATAGCACAGTATTTACATTGATTAAAAGAATATGCAAAAGATAACAGTGGCTATGCTTCCAGAGTTACCATTTTACACATTTTAAATTTTGTGCCAGCTCTTCAAACAAAGAGGCTGGACTTCCTTTTTGCCCCTAGGCAACCAACACTAGAGAAATAATTTTGAAGGTAAAAATGTTCCATTCTTTTTTTTACATATTGAGCAATAAAATACCAGTATATTTTAAGAAAGAGTAACAATCCTTGCTTTCATCTTTGAGTTTTAAAATAAATCGTTCCATCTGTGTCATCAGTGAGAGAAGAAAATTTGGTTGATTAGCACTGAGTTCTCATCACAAATAAATAATATCTAATACCTTTTCTTAATTTTTATTGAATCGTTTGAAATCTTCCTCCTTTTTAAAGGAGGATCTACACTAAACCTATAGGTGTAAATCATACCCTCAAAATATCCAAGGTAATTATTATACTTGGGGTCTATAACCCACAGGCAAATCCAGCCCCTTGCCTCTTTTTGTAAACACAGTTGGGTTGGAACACGGCCATACTCACTCATTTACTAGTGTCCATGGTTGCTTTTTAGCCACACCAGCCAAGTTCTGTAGTTGCTATAGAAACCATATGGTCCACAAAGCCTAAAGTATTTACTATCTGGCCCTTTATAGAAAAACTTTATTGATCTCTGCCCTGTGCCGTTGATACATCCACAGGTAGAAGATTTCATTACTCTTCTCTAAAGTCTGTCTTCTGGATACTCATAAGTTCACTCATTCATTCACTTTTTAATCAACTAATGTCTGTGAAACATCTTCTGCACCTCTGGCACACAGATGAAGAATGGTGGGGAAACAGACTAATAGAATACCACCAGATGATGATGGTTCTAATAAGATAGGAGCCTGGTAAAAAGGAGGTCCAGGAGGTGTCAGGCTGAGGGAATCAGATAAGGTCTCTGGCAGTGTATAGTTCGGGCTCTTCAGGTGTTATGGTTGAAATGCTGTTACCCATTTAAATAGTGATGTCAAAAGTCTCGGGGTTACATTTTGCTTTTATGACTTCACAAAAGGCACATTCTGACTTACTGATAGATCTTTAGTATTCTAAAAGTGTTGAGATGGTTTGGAAGAGATGTAGCTTGTTTGTGAGATCAGGACAGCTGATCATCTCCACGCATCTGGCAGTAAGGGGACCAGCTCTTCCCCAAAGTTCGAAGGACTAAGTAACATTAGATATCAGACAGAACAGACCCACAAAACTATCTAACACAAGATCCACCCGAGCTAGGTGGCCCACAACAAACAACGGCTTCTATTCCCTTTCTTGCTTACCCACCAGTCCCACCAAAAGCTCACTGGTCTATGTTGAACCTTATAACTGGAGAAGTTAGCCTCATGTGTGAGCGGAAAATAAATACCTAATAAATAAATAATTGATGCAATAGGTGAAGGTGATTGCTGTTTTGGGTTTTTAATGAATGGCAGACGATGAAATGAATACTATGACGTACATTGTCTAAGTGAATATCCAGAACTCAAGCTTCAGTATAAGTATAAACGTAAGCTTAGCTAAGTCAGCATGAATGGCATTTTAAAATATGCTTGTTTTGTTTTTGTTTTTGACATATTGAATACTTACTACCTCCCTGGTAATGAATAAAAACAATGAAAAATTCTTAGCAACCTAAACAACCAAATAAGATTTATACTGAACAATTTCAATGTGATCAATTTATTTTTAATCAAACAATATTTGATTTGACAAGGTACCTGGAAACAGGCTGTGCTTTACATATAAATTAGCCATATGCTTATTAAAGAATGTTAATAAAAGTATGTTGACATTTTTCCTTAAGTAATATTAAAGTGACATTTTATTTCTATATATTTTCATTTAAATTTTTAAATAATTGTCCAGTGACCTAAGCAAATACTGTAAAAGAAAACCAAACAAAAAATTCACTGATTAAAATCATAAAGAAATTGCTTCATTTTGGAAGGAGCAGTGCACCTTAGGATAAGGTAATCTTTTATTCAACAAATATCAATTGACATTTTATTCAATGAAGAAAGATTGCTAGTATAGTTGGAAACCTTTACAATAAATGTTTGTGTGGGGACTCTTAAAGGTTGTAAGGTATATCTATCAAATCCAACATCAGAAAATATACTCTATATTTTTTTAGCTTGATAAGCTTTATTTATATGCTGAAATGTAAACACTCCTGGATTTTAAATACATATATATATGATTGATAGATTTCTTGGCGCTGACACCATTAGAGGATTTGTTTTGTTTTGGTATAAGGAGGAATCACTGTTTAAAAGCATTATGTATCTATATAGTTCTGAATGTTTTAAAAAATCTAAATGAAAAGAAAAATCTACACCTAAATTTTCTCTTGCCTTTTTCATGTGGAAAAAAACAATCTAATGTGACAAGTTTACAAGAATCTCTATTATTCTTTTCCTTTATGTAACCCAGTGTCTTGTTTACTTGTGATACCCCAGTATGTTCTTACAAAAATTAATTTCAAGTCTAAAAGGCAGGATAATCACTACTTTCAGCAGTAAAAGGTATCAGAAAGAAATTGCAGTTTAAGCATCGATAGCATATAATTAAGGATAAGAAAAATTATTCTTGAATATGTGTTGCTTTAATTTTTCTCCTGATGGCTTTTCAGATTACTTTAAAAAGAGCTATCAAAACTCCCCCTCTAGAAAAGGTCTGCTAAAAGGCACAGACACTTGGAGATCCACGAGCAGGAAAAAAATAGGTCATCTTATAAAATTGATTATGTTAGCTGTCTACATGCAGTGCGTATGTCAGCAACAAGGAAAACAGCCTCCAGATACATTCTGCAGGCAGATTTTCTTCTGGAGAGAAACCTATGTCTTCCTATACGTTGTGAGGCCAACAGGGTAGAGTAGGGGTAGTGAGGTTTCATCCACATCAGGCTGGCTTTTTAAAGACAGCCAATAATATTTTGTAATAACAAAAGTGATATATATACATATTTTTTTTCCTGTCTAAACCTGGAATCCTGACCACCTTATTTTAAACAAGCCAGAGACTGCAAGCTTCAATCTGTTTGGATAGAAAGGAATTTATATAAATGTTTTGTTCAAGCCCAAAAGGGAAACAGAGTATAAACATACAGTGCATCAAATATGCATACCCAGCTTCTATATAGCTTAGTGCACAGAAGAGGAAAAATAATCTAACCTTTTGGTAGTCATCCCCAGCAGTCTTTAAGCTTAAATATCTTGTAATTTGCAACATCGTTTCCATGACCCCAACAGTAAGAGATGAACCAGAATTTCACAACTGTCCTGCTCTCCTCCCCTCGGGCATCTTGAGAGGAGGGAGAGAGAACAAGAAGGTCAAAGAACAAATGGAAACAAAATCTGTGTTTTGCACTCTTTCTCTGCACTTGAGAAAGAAAAGGAGGCAGATAAATCTGTATAATACTAAACCAAATCTCTTTAATTCCAGTCAGCTTTTATCATTCAGCCACTGAGTCTGTGTGTGGAAAAATTCATGCTAATTCCCCCCTAGCAACAGCCTCAGCCTATCAGGAGACTTTATGTACCATGCAGCTGCCAGCCAGAGAGAATGACTCTAAGTAGGTCAGGCCTGTATTTCTAAAAATGCTACGGTCTAGTAACCCCACTGTCCCGTCTGTCTGCCCTGCCCCATAATAACCTCAATTGCTTGGTGACACAATGACATACTATCCTGTTAGAGTGCAATCACATCATGCTACATTATTCTGCTGCGAGCATGACTGCTGGGTGAAGGACCCTCAGAGGGGCAGCATTAATCAGGCAGGCATTCATGTCCAGCAGCACTTCGCTCTAGAAATGGGGACTGCATTAATGACCAGCTGTTTGAACTAACACAAACAAAATAATGTCTTCCACCCTGTTGGGTGCACAGAATACACTATTCTGATGTGGCAGGTTCCGCTTCTTGACTAAAGCAAAGATGTAAATTAAACGGGCTCAGACAATGTCAGTTTTGGCAACCTCAAAGTGAGTATATTTAAATTATATTACATGTGATTCAAAAAGCTATTGATTTAATATACACAGCTTTCCATGCCTACAATTTTCCCTAATCCACATTAAAAAAAAAAAAAAGAAAGAAAAATGCATACATGGGTAATGCAATACATATGCACATATTGCCCAAAAACTAAACATGAGCCGAACTAAAACTGACTTCTTGGGCAGAGAAACAAAACAGGTCAGGAGTAATTGTGCGGCATGAACACAAATAGAAATGCAAAATGAATGAATGAATGCCGTGGAGGAGCGCTGAAAACAAATAAGAGTAAACATTCTAAGCCTGCGGACCAATCAGCTCCTCCCACCGTCTCTTTGTGGAGGCTGCAGTAGCACCAAAATCTCGAAGCACAGGAGACGAGGGAGGGAAGTGAGCGTGGCCTTCAAATCTCAACAACCGTGGTACCCTGACTTCCCTTAGCCATTACTGACTAGCTGCTGTTTGGCTTCAGAACAGCAAAAGCTCCTTCAAGGTTCAAACTCGGGAGATCAAAAAAAAAATGGAAACTTTTCAATTCTAAAGTGGGAATGTTAGAACTTAATTTACCCTATTTACTTGAGTGTAACTTTTGATGTCTCTCTATTGAAATGCACACACACACACACACACACAAATTATGTACGGATACAAAGTTAGGAGACTGGCAGTGGCTCCTTTGGCTATTTAGTAAAACATCTTATACTGATAGAGCTTGCATTGATATATTCTCGCATGATTAATTTGCACATTTAAGGGTTCACAGTTTCATTTAATGAATATATGCCCCCTGACAAATTGATAATTTAGCCTTCAATTATACAGAATTCAGCAAGACTTCCCTGTGTAATCCATCAGTATTTGATTTACAAACATAGAAAATTTCTTAATCCATTTGCCCTTGTTTGAACTGGGTTTGATAACTTAGTTATGACTATCTTCTTCACTTTGTGGCACACATCACATAGTTATTCTTGGATAGATACAGTCACTGACGCAACCATGAACCGCTAATTACAAGCTGCTGACATTCTGCTTGTCTATGCAGCTTTGAAGTTCCAAGTCTGTTTTTCTCTTGTGCGCTTGCTCCGTTTCGTTCTCTTCCTCTCATGCCACCCACCCCTAATCACCTCGCTCTCTTTCCTCTTTTGACTTTAAACCCTTTCTGGATTCACTCTAGGACTATCTGGAGAAAGAGGTACGCACGATCAGATTCTGTATCTTAGTGCTTTTCCTTTCCTTCCGTACTATCCCTGCACACCCATCTACAGTTTGAAAGTACAGTAATAAGATCCTCACCCAGCCCCACCCGCAGGAATGCATCAACAGCTGGCCAAACATAATCCAGCACACAGAGCTGCCTTTGTAGAATTAGTGACAAACAGTGGAAGGGCCAGACAGGCGTCCCAGAAGAGCTCCCCATGACAACTGGGAAAGCTCCTCACCCCCAGGGTTGGCTGACTCCACTGAGCTGGGGTTGGAGAACCCCAGTCCTCACATCTGAACGTACAACAAGCCTCCAGTGCCTGCCCTCAACCTCACCAGAATCTACTCGGAGGGCACTCGGCTCTCCGTAACAGCACGTTAGAAACAAGCATTCTCCATATTGACAATGGCCATACTCCGCCTCATGGCACATGCCTTTCGAAATGCAACACGGCAGATCTGCAAATCATATGAACAACATTTACACCTGTACCTAACCGCCTAGCTGTGAGCCGGCAGGACCACCTCTCCTCTTTAGAAAAGGATTTCTTTTTGCAAATTACAGGCTGATCCCAGCATTCTGAACCATGTAAATGTAACACAGTATTCATCTCCACTGAGCATTTGGCATCTGAAGCTTGTGGTAGCCAGCTGGTCTCAAAGTCATCTGGGATACATTTATTTTGATTAAATTGATCGGATTTCTATTTACAGGATAGAATTTTTTTGCCATTACTGAATACAGCTGTGTTTACAGGGATTTGTAGGAGAAGAAAACAAAACCCACCATCGGTCCTAGCAAAGCACAGAGCACTCAGAACTGGAAGGAGTTAACACAGAGGGGGCTTGCTTTCACAGTAAAAAGAAAATTCTGCATGCAGCTGCTTTGGCCATGCTGTCTCACTAGTCAGGAAATGGGTGTTGAGCTGGAGCTGACAACACAAGCTGCAATCAAGCCCGATCCAGCAAAGTGACAGACTTCCTGTGTAAAATGGTCAGAAACCTCTTTCCATGTCTCTACACGCATGCACATGCATTTAAATCCATGCTGCGAGGCTGCGATTCTCTCTGGGGACCCTGGTACAGTCACCTAGCCCATCAGTTCCTTCGCTGACAGCGCCGGGGACATCCAGACTAGGATCTACAGTTCCTCCATCCGTGTGCCGGGTGATAAATTATGCCATCCTCCTAGAATGAGAACGCACAGCGAGCGGCAGACAATCGCCCCGGCGTTCGGCGTCTCCTCTTGCCTTGCACGCGCTCCCTCACTCCGCCTTTCTCCAGCTCTGCCTTCCCAGGCACATGCATCAGATGCCTTGTTTATCCATCTTCAGCTGCGCTCCGAGGTAAAATGCCACCACATCTCGCCACGGCTTGTCCCCCAAGACTGAATCCCTGGGAGCAGCCCGAGCTGGGCGCACGCGGTGGGGGCCACGGCTGCCCTGCCCTGCGCAGCACCGGTGGGCACTGCATGGATGGAATTCCCAGCTTCCCCTTCCCCGGTCCTTGGCGTCCTCTCTGGCCGTCCCTCCCCAGGTCTTCTGCAGCTTCACCCCGTCCTGCAGGTCCCCTCGCCCAGCTGCGAGGCAGGAGACCGCGGCCAGAGCTCCGCCAGCAGGACCTTCTTCCGCAGGGCGCAGACGCATGATTCCGGGATCGGGGCACCACGGCGAAGCCCGGGCGGGAGACGCAGGAGCAGCTCAGGTAACCAGGGAAAGCTTGGCATGCCCACGGAGATGCCGCCCTGGAGCTGTGAGGAAAGACGGTCTGGCTTCAGAATTAAGAAGAAAAAAAAAAAAAAAAAAGAAACACAAAACAGCGCAGCTCGGCGCCAGCGGGGGTGGAAAAAAACAGACACAAACCATAAAAAAAAAAAGCAAGTGTGTTAAAATAAAATTTAAAAAAAAAAAAAAAGAATACACAGATCAGGGTACTTCATGCGACTTTATTTCTGACGTTTCTTGGCTTGTTGGCCTCCCCACCCCCTCCAAAATCGGTTCTGTCCCTGAACACCACTGTCTGTCCATGAGTGCCAGTCACAAAGGCTCCAGCTCCCAAGTGCTGCAGACCCAGCATCACATGAGAAACCACATGACAAACTGCAGTCGGCTGCTGATGTGGTCAACTACTTCACCCAGGCAGGGGGAGCAGGAGGGACACAAAGCTCAAGTGCCACATGCCCCGTTCCGGCGGCCAGGAACACATTTCCTTAAAAGAACAATGGGAAGCATGCCACTGAAGCTTGCTTGGGAATACATACATACTTTTCCATTTGCACACTTACAGACACTAAAGAGGCCGTGGATACTTGAAGACATTCTGAGGATGCGGTACCACAGACACAAGCTGGATGGCAGCAATATTATTTCTAGTTTGTATTAGTCAAAGCTGATTCCACTTAAGTGGATTCCTGAAAAGCACACACCACGTCTTCATAGCATGATCAGGCTTGGAAAACCAATTCTATTATCTCTCCCTGCGATCTGTATCTGAACCTGCATTCTGAATAATTTATTTTTAGACTAATAAGATGCTTGCCAAGACTGCTCCCTTTCTTCGGCAAGCAGCATAGGCAATGTTCACCCAAGTGGGAAAACCTTGTCCCTTTGTAAGGAGAAGAGAGGAGATTTTATTTTTTTAATGCAGTTTCTTATTTAAAGGCAGACATAGCAATGATGTTCTCGAAAGTAATCTTAAAAACAAGTGAAACGTTTCTGCTTCATTGAATGGACATGTCTCTTATTTACAGTTTGGCATCTAATGCTGGCAAATGGTGGTGATATTTTTCTAACACTGTTCATGGCTGCAGCTAGAGCCCTTAAGCCACATGGAGATTGCTACTTCTCAGCAGGGTGAGAGCAAACAATTGCTTTCTGGAGCACCTTTCTGTGGAGGTGCTGCACTGTCAAGTATGTTTTACCAGTTACATTAAGGCAGATATGAGTGAGATGGCCTCAGGGTCTGTAGATTGTGTCACTCCTCCTGGAATTAAGTAAGTTGACTATTTGGGAAATTCTTGCCAAGATGTGAGAGGTATGGCTTTTTAGCAAAATTGATTATGCCAGCTAACGAGAACTGGAGAATCGTTAAACAGGTGGGAGATAATTGTCTACAATATATCTTACTGAACTGTGTAGATATCAAGGTTAAGTGGCCACCAATTAATTTCAGATGCTCTTTTAGCCTCTCACTGTAAGAGTGTGTTAAGGATGGTCCTAGATACTGGGGTTCTAGTGATGAGCAAGACAGGCATGGTCTCTGCCATCTTGGAGCTCAAGATCTAGTAAATGCACACATCTTTGGTCCTTCAAGAAAACCTTTTCCCAATTTGAATTCTCCAAAGTTAACCAAGGAAGATATCCAGCAGTTACCTTCTCTACCCTTGCCTCTTCAGCATCCTCTGTGATCTCCCAAATCCTAGATAGTTGTTCTTTACCATCTGCTCTTGGATTTAAGATTTCCTCTCCATCCATTCCTAGAGTTCAAGCTCAGGTCCTCATGCCCTCCCACCCAATGATCTCCTCTCTGGTCACCCTCTTTTTGTTTCATTCCATTTGGCAGTCTGCTGCCAAATGAATCCTACCAAACCAACACATTCATGATGTCCAGAACTACTGTGCAGATGGGCTAGACAACCCTTTGTCCGAAAGCAAGGTGGCTCCTCATTTCTTCACATTCATACACTACCAGTCAAGACACTCTATTATCTGATTATATATTGTCTATGTAAACAGATTGGTCTATTAACGATCTTCTAATCATATCCTCCATTGAATCAGAGAAAAAAAAATAGGGGCTTAATTTTCTTAAGAAGGCATAAAGCATTGTACAAGAAGCAAAGACACATGAAGCACTGTCCCTGCCCTCAGAGAGCATATACTCTATAGAGCCTGTGGAACCTTTTTCTATCATTACTGTTTATTATCTTCGATGGCTAGTCATTTCTTCAGGTTTTATTTCCCATGAAAATATTTAGTAGGTCTCAATCCACTTGCTAAATTTGGGTCAGGTAAGTGGTGCCATAGAAGGCCTAAAAAGGAAACAAATACTTCTACCTAAATCTCTGAGGAGGCTGCCAGAGTTCCTTGGGATTTGCAGTGAGCTATAAATACTTTGGCCCGGGAGTAAGACGGGGTTTAGGTATTAACAGCAGTAGCAATGGCAGTTGCTAAGAATCAGCACTTAGTATGTGTCAGCATCTATTGTAAGCATTTTAGAGAAATTAACCTACTTAATTTTAGGAGGAAATATTTTTAACAAGTTATTTTCAGTGATATATAGACAGAAGCACAAAAGAGAGGTTAAGTTGTCCAAACTGCACAGCAAGTCAGTGGCAAAACACACCTGGCCCTCAAGCACATGGTCTTAACCAACATGCTGTCCTGCTTTGGAAATGAAAGAAATTGTGGGAAGAAGACCAGATATGTGAACATACATATATATGCCTGAAGGTGGATGAAGGAATCACTGTAGTTCAAGTAGGGTATTAGTTCTGTAGAAGTGGGATTAGGTTGAGGAGAGCCACAATATAAAGCTAAGACATTACCGTCTTCATAAACAATGGGATCAACAACCAAATTGTAGGATAGTAAGTCCGGTAGCCAAATCTAAGACTGAGGGGGGAGAAAGGGATTGGATATAAGGAGACTAATCAAGAGGCTTCTGCAATGGCCTGGCTAAGAGGGAATGGCGCCCAAACCTTGGTAGTGGTGAAAGAAAATTGAGATGGATGCTGGTGGTGGTACAAAGAAATGACATTATTGTGGTATTCTTGGAAAACAGAAGGTGATGGTAAAGCTTACTCTGCATTTTTTGTTATTGCACTTTAGCTTCTGGAGTACATGTGCAGAACATGCAGGATTGTTGCATAGGTACATACATGGCAAGGTGGTTTGCTGCCTCCATCCCCCTGTCACCTATATGTGGCATTTCTCCCCATGTTATCCCTCCCCAACCCCCACCGTCCTTCTCCTAGTCCCCCGCAACAGACCCCAGTTTGTGATGTTCCTCTCCCTGTGTCCATGTGTTCTCATTGTTCAACACCTGCCTATGAGTGAGAACATGTGGTATTTGGTTTTCTGTTCTTGTGTCAGTTTGCTGAGAATGATGGTTTCCAGATTCATCCATGTCCCTACAAAGGACACCAACTCATCGTTTTTTCTGGCTTCATAGTATTCCATGGTGTATATGTGCCACACTTCCTTTGTGCAGTCCGTCACTGATGGGTATTTGCGTTGGTTCCAGGTCTTTGCTACTGTAAACAGTGCTGCAATGAACATTTTTTATAGTGCAGATGAAGAAAGAATGCAGCTCCTTGAGCTTAGGAGATGCGTCATTCATTTTTTTCCCCAGTAGCTAGCAAAGTGCTTGACATATCGTTTTAAAATAATGAATAAACGAAGGGGATGGAGGTAGAAATGGGAACACCAGAAGTGATGATGCCACACATAACAAAAATCTCTACAGTGAATTTAGGAATTCACAGGACATCTGAGTGGCTTATGCGGCTTGGCTTCTATCATGCCATTACTTATAAAGAAACAATTTATTTTCTCTTTCCACCTTTGGCCTGGATTTCAGATGCTACCTGCTTTCCCCCACCACACGCCTCGAATGCTTCTCTAAAGGCTGATCTTGGTCAGGCTGTTTGCTCCGCTCTGTCCCGGCGACCTCCATCCTTGCCCAGCAACTGCAGACTCATCCTCTCTAGACCTGGATCCCTACTCAGAATGTTTGCGCTTATCAGGGCGATAAGGTAAGCGGACCAACATACTTCACCATTCTTTAATTTTTTTAAATAGCCAAGGGAGAAACCACAGACATTTATCAGCCGTCGCACACAATCTTAGCTAACCAGAATACTACAGTAATGAACGTACCTCATTTCTTGGGCAGTTAATGAAGGTTAATGTGACATACTGCCTCTGGCTGTGGAAGTAAAAAGGGGTGTTACTGCTTCGTATTATAGCTGGGGAAAAGAAGTGTTAATAATCTTTCTCATCAGCAGTAAAGAACTGAGCTTTTAGTACCCAGATATATTTTAGTAAAAGGCTAGTATATCATCTGTAAGTGGAGTTCAAGAGCAATGTTAGATAACTAGGGCATGTCAAGAGCCTGCTTATACTAGAGACCAAAAAAAAAGAAGAGGGAGAACAAGAAAAAAATAGCGAAATACAGCCAAAGCTGAATTTATTCCAAGAAAAAAGAAAAATGTAAATTTATGTTGGAAGTGTTGTCATTTAGATCACTTTAGATCAATTTTAATCCTTTAAATAGAAGAAAACTTGGATCTCACAAATAAGTGATACTGAGTAACTGTATGAGCAGGGTCTTTGATTCGATGATGTTCACACAAATGCATTATGTGGACCTGCTAAGCTAAGGTAGTGTGGTAGGCACTGTCCAGGACCCTTACAGAGCTTACAATACACTTATCCAGGAAGACATTTCCCTTCCTTTTACAGAGGGAAGCTATTGCATTTGATGATTGTAAAAAATAGCAGGGAGGCGGGATAGAGGCAGTGGCTCACTCCAGCACTGGGAAAGGCCAAGGCAGGTGTATTGCTTGGGCCCAGGAGTTCGAGACCAGCCTAGGCAACATGGCAAAACCCTGTCTCTACCAGAAAATTGTACAAAAATTTGGTGTGCACCTGTAGTCCTAGCTACTCAGGAGGCTGAGGTGGGAGGACCACTTGAGCCTAGGAGGTGGAGGCTGCAGTGAGCCATGATCATGTCACTGCAATCTAGCCTGGGTGACAAGGCAAGACACCGTCTCAAAAAAAAAAAAAAAAAAAGAGCAGAGTTTAGTTAAAAAAAAATAAAAATAAAAAGGGTATGCTCTTTTGATAGGGAGCCAACCCACCGAAGCCCCTTGGAGATCTTACCATAGCAGAAATAGCTTGCATGATGTGAATATTCTATGAATGTGACTCTTCAGTCCTTTAAGTGAGTAAGAATGTAAGAATGCTATGCTTTATGTGTGCAATCCTGCGAAATATTAATGATGTGCTGACAGTGTCAATAAAGCCAGGGTCTCTTAGTAGAGTTGCTACAGGACTTAAACTGCATGTCATGGTTTCTAACGTCTTCAAAATGGATGCTGAATTAAGACGAGCCCTTCCCAAAGTAGACTGGCAAAGTGACTAATTGCTGGCTGCTGGCGGAGGACTGATTTCCCCTCTCTCTGCTACGCAACGTTATTACCCTTGTCCATTTTACAGGGACCAAATGGCAAGTTTAAGGTGGAAGAACTGTGTTTGTTCACCT